TTCGAGTTGACGTTTCAAAATTCGCGCAAAATGGAGTTAGCATGAATAATTAGTACCATATTCATGATTAGGACCGTCAGTAACCCTTACAAATAGACTTTGATTGAAAAACTGGTGAAAAAGGTGTGACTAGGGACCCCCTTTTCTGGTATTCAGAGGGCCGTTCAGGAAAAATTAACCATGGTTCTGTGGTTCCCGCATGTGCCCCTATATCATGCAAAAGACCGTTTTGAAAAAGCTTGGCACACCCTGAAAGACCTTCCTTGTAAGCCTTAGACAAGGAAAGGGATTCTGGGGAAAGATTGAACAATGTGTGTTCCCTTGGGCATCTCTTCCCTCTTCTGGGCTTAGTCCTAGTCACCTCCGGTCTCGTTTTGACTGTCTTCCCTAAGGAACATGAGCGCAAACCTAATTAGTGATATGATACAATCATGTAGCATATTTCTATGGGTCTCCACATAATCTCCTTTCGTTTGCTGGCTTTTTTTTCGCTCTTTTGAGCCGAAACGTGAATAATTGCAAGCAACACTTTTTTATGTCATATCTTGTCAACAATGGGTTATGTCGTCATAATACAAGAAAAAGCGCCGTTTGTGTGATTTGACGCCTTTGTGCTACTGTAATTGGTGGCTCCACTTGCATTCGTTTTAGTATTTCTGATTTGGTTTAAAGAGGTGGGTCTTTCAGATCTTTGAGAAATGAACAACTTAATACGTAGTTGTTCTCTGGTGCAAAGTGAATGCTGCCGCGTAGTGCAATCTCGTCATGAAGAGAATGAGAGACTCAGACAGCGCTCGGGTGAAGCACCCATTTTGCACAAAATGCAGCGGGATCGATTCTAGTTCCTTAATTTATGGCTCGATGAGGTGGTATTGTCGCCTGGTTGCTGCTTCTAGCGAACTTCAGTTTTTGGATCGCAGCCAAGTATCTCTTAAACATTTTCGTTTTCTAACGAGTTTTTATTGCGCAAGTGTTGCAAATGGCGAGATTCTCGGGCTACTTCGATCAACCCGCGTACGCGTCCAGTTCACGCCATATCACTCATCGCGGCATTTTAACGCACGACAAACCTGTTCATTTTATACGTGAAGACGGAAATTTTGATTTCATATGATCTGCGATTCTGCGGCAGAAGATGAGCCGGTAATTTTCGTCCAATTTTTGCGATTTTTACGCAATACGAGTCGACCCCGATTGTGTGCTGCATGCGATTAGACGCGTGAGGTGTGCGTGATTGGCAATACGACATGAATTAAAGGCAGCCTGACAACTAGTTGGGTGGTAAATGGCATCATTCAGGCATGTTATTAATCTTGCCGCTACAATTTTTGATAGAGTGTACTGATAACACCCATCAACACTACACTATAGTTTGATTTGGGATACTTGACCCTTTCTTGTCAGTTGACCTCGCCGATTTGTAACGTTATCAGCTGACTGGTTTATCTGGGTGAATGTCGGCAAGACGACAATGTTTTGTGGCGTTCTGCCCGCGTCTCATTCTTGTTCTGTTTCTTCTTGTAACCCGCTCTTGGCCTTCTACGAAATTTGCCTTCGCGCTAATACATCGCTCTCGTTTTCGGATCTAGTTTGTGGTGTCACGAGCTGTTCCCACGTAGTGCGTTCTTATCATTTTTTGGTGAAATTGAAACATAAGCTTGGCCAATTCTCGAGTGGAACACAGTTTTATTTGTGTCATATCGGCCTCAGTATCACATTTTCTCGTTCTGGTTGTGTCCTGAGCAAACAGTCGATATGCGTTAACGCGAGCCGTCACTCCTCACATCATATTGTGGACCGGATTGCGCATGTCATCCTTGTTTTCACTTAAATCAATGATTTTTTGACTGCTTTACGGTCAAACATTGTACTGTTGAGGACGCTAGTAATAGGTTGTCCGATAAAATGTGTCGTTTTTTTTCGAATCAAAAATTTTCCTTTGAAAATCTCCGTTTCACATGGTGCCATATACCATTCGAAAGAGAACTGCCTACCCTACAAACTAAATTGTATCTCTTCTATAACGTTTGGGAACTTATTGAATTGCAGCTTCGCAAATGTGGTCAAGACAAAATTAGCCAAGCTCCATGTTCCTTCGCAAGAAATCAATCACCGATGCTTCGTGTACTTAGTCATAACCTCTGCTTGACATTTCACTGCTAGACTATCCAACAAAGCAATCTTTCTTTTTACAATTTTTTATCTGCCTTTTTCAAAATTTGATTTTTGCTCCAGAACTCTTGATGATCGACCCTATTTTGTTGAATCTAGATGCGTAAGTTTTCATCACCGAGACATTAAAAATTTGACAGAACTTTAGAATTAGTCGTAACTAAGTCCGGACCACATCACTGATTGGTCTTTTTGCTTTTTCTCAGGAAATTTTTTTTGAAGTATTGTGGTCATTCTTCTAGGATGGGGACATTATTACGCGAGCCTAAATTTTATCAAAATTCAAGTGAAGGAAGTAGCGAAACATTAGCGCAAATTTAGCAGGAAAGCCTTTCTGAACAACACATGAAATAGTGTGGAACGTTGGACCTCTAAGGGTATATTCCGGTTGAAAAAAGCTACAACAGCGTAGCGGTCAGTCGGGGAAGTGGAATGTAAAAACGAACCTTAGTTGGTTAGCGGTTGAGTTGGTGGGGAGTCCAGTAGTACTGATTTAAGCAGAGGCTGTGACTAAGCCCTTGGTCCATCTCAGATTGACTCTTTCAGGAACGTCGAGTCTGAGCAATGACCGGTTTGCGTAGTTTTCGTCTATTGCAGGCCTGTAATTCAGTGATCCAACAATAACTCAGAAGTGCTAGAGGGTATTTTGTTGAGGCGACAGATCTCTTTCGAATGATATCTGACATTATGTGAAACACAGGATTTTAAAGGGAAAATATGCTTCCAAAAAAAACGGCGGTACGTATACAACGTAATTCTTCTGCTCAAAGGTTCTCTGATCACAATTTGAATGCCCCGGCAACCTATCGTGGAGCGCCGGTTTAATGCATCTCCGCACCTGCTCGTTTTTTTTTCACCGATGAGTGGTAACCTGTCAGTATTTGAATGAATGTAGGTACATTTAGTGTTTTTCGGATTCTAGAAGTAGAAACGCATAGGTGTGGCTTACTAGGACTAGGAGAAAGCGGCTTTTTCGCGTTTCGCTGCGCGAAACATTTTTCGCTGTAGGAACTCCAGGTCCACTCATGATCAGCGGTGGACCTGAGGTTCCCGCAGCGAAAAATGTTTCGCGCTGCGAAACGCGAAAAGTCGCTTTCTGTCCTAATGAACCGCACGAAACGCATCTTGGGTATTTTCGGGTCCGACAAATGTTAGTATACCTTGGAACGTATAAAACGTTGAATAAATCAAGCAGAAAGTGTGGCGACGTGGGCACCATCTGCATCACGCGATCCGCGATGAGTTGAGGAGTTGCACTTTGGCTGCTCATAGTTATGTTCCATCTTCACGTAGCATAAGAAATGAATTGCTTTTTTGCTTTTAATTGTTACTCTGAAAAAGTTCGGGTTTTTTTCAGTACTGGTAGTGATAGCCACCAATTTTAGTTTTCTGAGCTGTTTAAGAGGTTTTGATCAAAGTTTTAATGTTTTAAGTTTTTACGTACAATGAGGTAAGTACTTTGTACGTGGAAATGACTGTTGGACGTAGTGCTTGTAGTGCTCTGATCAAAAATCTGTAGGCATGTAAAGTACAAGTGGTCCAACAACTGACATCTCGATTTCTTGGGTCTCTCGCAATGTAGTTTTTCTTGGCTAATTCTTACATGTATACTTTATAGCACATTTCCCCTTATTGCTTGAGGAAATCTGGAGCCCTCCTGTTTTTAGGGGGGGGGATATTGAAGCAAATGAGCCAATTACAGAACTTTTGACTAAGCCTCAAGAAGGGGAAGGGATTCTAGAGATGACCAGAGCAATCTTTATTCTCTATGTCGTTTCTTCCCTCTCTTCGGCTTAACCGTAGTGTTACCTACGAGAAGTTTTCAAACACCCCTAAGGACATGAGTTAAAAAACTGCACAAAAAATGGGTATGATTCATGATAAGCGAATTTTCCCAGTTTGCTCAGGAAGGGAAGGGAAGTTTGTTAGGCGAATCTATGGCACTTTATAGGGCGAAAATGTTTTCGTCTTCGAAAATACTTATTCTAGTGCATCCGATGGAATTAGAGCAAGCTCGGCATGTATATGTGTGGTCCATAATGGACACTTTGATCCTTTGATTCTGTAGTCTAGCTGGCAAACGTTTTATCAGTCGGTGCCAGCCGGTTACCGAGGGCCTGTCGCCGTTTGCGCACATGTGCGTACACTGGCCGAGTTCAATTACTTTTTTGGTCAGTGTTCGCTAGGCCACGGTTGGGTTGTCGTCGATGCTGTGCTGAAATGAGACACTCATTCTGATCCATGGGTTCTTTTGTACTAAGGTCGTATCATGCCCACGTTGGCGTATAGGTGTGTGAATTGATTCATTGGTTCGGGGCCCGGTTCTGACCCAATCAACGCTACCTCGATTTCTTTGACGTTTCGAATTGAGGCATTCATTGTCGTCCTGGGTCGCTGTGATGCGTTTCTCGCGTAAAACCCTTTTTCTTGGATAATGGCCCAGTCTTGTGTTCTATATTGGGTAGCAGTGCTGGAACCAGAGTTGGAATTCTGGCAGAATCTCTTGTACTGTTGTCTGACAACCGGTTGTCTGGTATGTGACGGAAACCGTTGTCCTTTGTTCTTCTTAATGTAGTAATGTCAGAAATATCTCTTTGTGGTCATTGGAAGTTCATTACTATGCCTTTGTGTAGATTTCTTGTGGCATACACTCCTGAGGACTGTGCATGGACAGCGCTGCTCTTGTGTCCGATTTCTGCCTTACCATACTCAACTGACACAACCTATAGCACCAATCTCGCATGTTAAACACTTGTCTGGAAATGTTGTAAAGTGTGATGAGCAGAGTTCTCATTGCCTAACAAGTACTGTTACAGACCGCCGCCTACATGCCGGATACGCCGTCGGATGCGTTATGGCGTATCGCCGCTTTTGCCTTTATCATGCTTCTATCCGGGCGTGATCGTTGGTGGATTGTGTTCATTGTGTATTCTATCTACCGCCTTACTCGTACGGAGCTTTTCGATCGAATTCGACGGACATTGAGAAGAGATTTATCGTGAGTGGTTTTTTTTTCTTCTGAACTTCTCATTTTGGAGAGTGGTTCCTCTGTGTCAGTATTCGACCTATACATGGCCTCTGTCACTTAAATTATCGTAGATTCCATGTTGTATAGTTGTTGTATGCAAAGAGTAGTGTGAGCCTTGTTCAATATTTTTTCCCGATATTATGTAGCAGAAAAGCTGGCTTCCTCCGCAATACAGTCATTTGATCCGTTAATATTATGGATTATGCAATCGATATGACAGCCACAGTTCATTTTCACCATCTTTGTCTTGATTTCATGCGGGAGAGGGGAGTCTCGAAGGGCAGAACTGACAGCCAAAGCGCAGTGACGCCATTTTAGTGTGATTGAGGAGCTAAGGAGTTGTGGTTATAGCAGTGTATTTTCCGCTCTCTGAGAAGAAAAAAAAGATGCTTTTTGTACTAGCAACCCTGTAGCGAGTAGTTATTCAAACTTTTCGGTGCGGGAACCCAGGTACACCCTTGATCATGAGGGAACCTGAAGTCCCACAGCGAAAAATCGCTTTCCGTCTTGCGGCCGTTTACGGACTACTTGATTTTTCCTCAATGGTCCTGCCGCGATGGCTAGAGCACAGACGATTAGAGAACGGGTGAATGCTCCTGGAGAGGAGAGGGACCCGCGAGAGAGCGCAGAGGCGGTCTAAAGGGCTGAGTTCAAGTAGCCCGATGACCCTACTGCGTTGTGACATTTGTCGGCTACGTAACTGAGTTCGGCACTGGATTGTATCTAACTACAGTGGCATGTATTTTCTTAAGTTCAACATAGAAGTGTGGGTGTTTTGTTGTGAGTAGAGTTAAGTGCAAGGTGCGAACGCTCCACTGTAAATGTTAATAATGCCATAGTTACGGCGCCATCCGAAATCCTCTTAAAATTTTCAGTGATTCGCCTTTCATTGCTTTACAAAGCGCAAGCAAGTACAGTTGTTGACAGTTCGCATTGAGTCAGTGTCTAACAGATCTACTATTTTGTAAAGCGATTTTTACGTCATTTTTCAATGCATTGCAGGGGTATCTATCTTCTTGTGCGTGTGAAATTGGATATTAATCGGCGTTTCAAAGCGAATCGCCCGATACACGAGGTGTTTCTAGAACAGGTTGGCGATTTAAGGCATGCTGAGGTTTCCGTTTTTTGATTTCCTGTCTTCTTTGTTTTACGCTTTGCGTTCAGGTGCGGAAGCATCCGCAAAAATTAGCTTGTGTTGAAGTGGAAACGGGTCGGCAGATCACTTATGACGAGCTGAATAGCCTCACGAATAGATATGCCAATTATTTTGATGTGAGTGACGGTTTTCTCAGTTATAGCTGTAAGGTGGCTAGCCGTCAAGTGAACTCTAGCTCCGCAATATTGACCTGCCCGCACGCTGATAAGACACGATATGCGGTCAACAACTTGTTTGCAATTATTATGAACTATAGAAAGTGGTACATTGGCGACCACGTTTGATAACATCAAAACAAGCTTGGAAAAAAGACAATGTTGTTATTTTTCAGAGTCTAGGCTATAAGAAAGGGGATGTTGTAGCTTTATATATGGAGAACTGTATCGATTTTTTCGCGCTGTGGCTAGGTTTATCCAAGGTGAGCATGTTTTTTTTGGGATTTTGAGAAGTTTTCTTTTTTCATTTTATAATCGTCTTTATTCCTTGTTTCTATGAATAATTACGGCGAAGGGAACATGAAATTTGATTTCTAGATAGGAGTTGTGTCAGCGTTCATCAATTCGCATCTTAAACTGGAACCATTGGCCTATTCGATTAATGTGGCTAAATGTAGAGCTATTATAACGCGTTCAACACTTCTGCCTAGTAAGTCTACTCTTGAAGAGTTTTTTTTTTCAAAGATTCGAATCCCAAAATATGTATACGGTGTTTGAGCAGAATCTCTCGTTGTGAAAAAATTATATCCTGTACTCAATGGGAATACCCTCGGTATCAATGTACTGTTTTTTAGAACCCGGGTAGCCGCAGTTTTTTTCCTAGCTTTTGCTCTTCACATTCTTGTTTCTGGACCGGTTCCTAGTGTTTATTTCTTGAGTTTTGCATCAAAATTTGAAGTTCTTCACGTCGTTTTTTTTTCGTTTCCTTGTCTCTAAAAGGGAAACAGAGTTGTGAATTCTCTGGCGGAATGGCGTTGTGCTGATGCATTCCACTTTTCTTGATTCTTTATTCCGGGCTAGAAATAGCCTATCACCATTCATTATCTTGTCGTGTTCCAAGGGGGTATAGTGGCAAGTGGCGCTGCTTACCACACGAGCGGTCCGGGGATCAAATCCTGGGTCGTGAGTCGCCCGGGCCAACCAAGCCTTCCATCCCTCCGGGGTCGGTTAATTGGTACCAGACTTGTCTGGGAGGATAAAACACTGACTTGTACATCGGCTGGCCCCCGCAAGTCATTGTATAGGCCACATCGCATTCAAAATGCACTGTAATTCTGGAAGTGGAGTGTGTGGCGCATTCCACAAAGGTATAGTTCAAAATCGGATGTTATTTTTTATTATTTTTATCTATTGGGAACTATGTTTGGGTGGCTTGTGGTCTCTGAGTCTTGATAGATATGCGCAAGGGTGCTGTTTTGACTTGCGCTACATTACCCGTTCAACTTATCGTTAGGGTAAAGGTTCCGAGCGGAAACTGTTGTCTTATAAGTGCTTATATCGGACTAGCTGAACGTATCAACCGTTAGTTACTGCCTTCAGAGTACACCTTGCAGGTGTGATGCTGACAGTCTACTAAATGAAGCAACTAGTATCAGTTTTCTGTTATCTAACGGCTGTATATATTCTTTGTCGAATTTTTATTCATTTTTTGGCATCGATGGATTATTTATGAATCTTCGGGATTGTTCAGCTCTTCGTCAATCGATCTCACATGGTGCTCTGAATATTACTGATAAAGAGCTGTTCGTGTCAGATGGTGATGAAAATGATGCGAAATCGTTATCAGCGGAAATACAGACGGTGGCTGGCACGGAACCGGTTCGAAAAGATGTTCACTTTCAAGGTAGTACGACGAATTTTTTGGCGGTTTGCCCTTCACGTGAACTAGTGAACTTTTTTTGTGTTTTCACGTCTGCGGTACGCTTCCTTGAGAACCTTGAGAACCTTTTTTTTAAGTTGTGCGTTGAATCTGAGGGTGTGACAAGTGGCGGGCTAAGAGTAGGTTATTGCACGTGCACTTAGGGCTTTCAAGCAGTTTGTGTGAAACGCGAAGTTGTGTTTCTTCCCCTTCCCTTACCAAAGAAACGTCAGTAATCGCGTACAAAGTCTCGTTCTTATTCTCTAAACTCTGGGTTGGGTCCGAGCTTTCTGACACTCGTGGGCCACACATTGATAGTGAGAAAAAGTGCAGTTGTGTACTGAAAGTGAGAGTTGGAATCTCGAATGTTTCAGCATTCATACACGTTGCACTCCATTTAAAAACAACTAGCGACCACTTGGTCAATGTAGCATTCTCTTTAGCAAGCAAAATGTTATCCATGATAGCGAATAGGCAGATGTAATACATTGGGTGAAAGGGCTCTCAAACCTTCGCAGGATAGATCCCTAGTAGGCAGTAGGTTTATGAGCATTCTGCTCTTAGGAGGCAGTTCATTAGCGAATAGTTAGTGGGACAGCCTCACTAATTTGGTACAATTGGCCACATCTTCCAGTGTTGCCTAACCTTGCGCGTGCCTGTTCTAATAATGATTGAAGCGGTTTGAATAAGCATATTTTGAGTATTCCATATTTGTACAAATACTTTCAAAAATTTCGTATGGCACAGTAACCTACATAAAGAGCAAACAAAATTGGAAATACGTAGACTTTTTGAGAAACCCGGACTTGTAGACCACCACGAAATTACGTAACCATTTCTAAAATCTTTGAATATGGCTCAATGATGGGAAAGCAAAGACTCAGCACTGAAGTAACAAGAGCCACAACAATCTATTAGACCTCGCATATTGCGCACTTGTATTGATAAAGGCTAACCAACATTCCTGTGTTTTCGTTCAAGTCTCTACTTTGGTTTTGCCACAGCTAAGTACCTAATGTTGAAAGTTCCTTGGCAAGGTCAGGGAAAATTGTCGCCATTCTTACCCCTTTCAGGACGTTCACTGACCATGACTAGAGCCATTGGAAGTCTTTTCACTTCCAAAAAGAATCTGTAATTGTGAAACGGTCGCATATTCGACCAGATTTCACCATTGTGATGGTAAAATAATAAAAGTCAAATACGGTGTCACCGTAAAGACTAAAGGGGTGAAAAGATCCAAGGGAAAGATATCTACGTAAACGGCTCATTCGCGAGGTAAGCAAACCAGCCCTTTTGGCGTTTCGGCTGGGACCGTATGCTGAATGTTGGGGAGGGGATGGGGTCCCCAACGGTCGACGGTTTACTTCAACTCGGTTGGTACGATAGGAGAGTACTGACGCAAGTGGTGCAGCTGGTCCAGCAGCTCCGCCAGAAGGGCTGGTTTGCTCACCCCAGGACTAAGCCTTGGAGAGGGGACGGACCCGTCCTCTCTTTAAGGCTTAGTTCTGAGGTAAGCACCAAATTGTGGCGGTTCTAAGGACCGAGTTGAAGTGGTCCGTCCACCGTCGGGGACTCCATCCCCTCCCCAACATTCAGCATACGGTCCCAGCCGAAACGCCAAAAGGGCTGGTTTGCTTACCTCTGTGGTTGGGATTACATCTAACGCTCTTACAGAATGACGTTCTGTGAAGTCATCAAAACCGCAGCACTCTCGAGCAATTGTGATCCCTGCCTTTAGTACTGAATGAGTGGCCCCCTCAAAAACTTTGGCCATTGCCGTGCATTTCATGCTTTTCTCTGAGAAATTATGGATTTCTCTGTCCTTGCAGTGATATTGCTACCTTGGCTCAGTTTCAGCCACTAAACCTCTGCAACTGGATATAACATTTCTTCCTCAATTTCAGGCTAATGAAGCTCGTGACTTGGCGCTTTCTTCTGCCGACAACTTGCGTTCTGATCTGAAACAAATGGAGACGAGGCTCATAAGTATGGCAGGGGAGCGTGATCGACACATCTCAACAGTCCAA